CCCCCCCCCCCCCCGCCTTCTCCTTCTTCCAGGAAACAAATCCTATCCCTCACGTCAGATGGTCCTGGGGCTGGGATAATGGGAGGCGCTTTCTTTCACTCTTCTCCCGGATTAAGCTGGGAGGTGGACTGCGCCCATTGAAGGCCCCTTCTTTTCTCCCCTAGGAGGGGGCACCTTTTAAAGAAGATATCTTAATTGTCTGCCACTTAGGTTTATCATGTGGGGAATTTGAGAGATCTAACTTCAATTTTTATTTTGTTAAAAGATTTAAGGGTGGAAGGTAAATCCACTAAAGGAAAAAAAAATTACGACCAATCTAAGTGACCTCTCAGTCAACCACCTGGCTGCAAACAGTTGCTACTTTTAAAGTAGCAAACACATTTCATTGATGCTCAGGGGCTAGGTTGAGATGTGGAGGGACCCGCAGCAGTGCCTCCTTGTTAAACTCTAATTCCACTTTAAAAAATATTTAAAATTCAGTTACCCTGTCCCCATAGACTTTTTTTCTGTTTAAATGTCAGTTCCTAAGCCAGTGCAGGCCTTAGGCTTATAATAACACACGCATGTGTACAAGTGTGTGAGCATGGAGGGCAATGAATATAAATCTCCACGCTTTAAAATTGTGTCAGAGAAGCAAATGAGAACAGAGAATGCTATCTGCAGGAGTCTTCTGAGGGAAACCCTCAGCTTTGTTTAACTGGCAGGATCTACTGCAGAAGGGACTGGGCTTCTCTTTGGGTGGAGGGCATGATTGAGTGTTTGCCTCAGCACCCACGCGGTTGCAGGACGGTCTCCGATCTTTGTGTTTTCCAAAAGCTGTAATGGTGGACTTATCTAGTTGGCCCCAAAGGATTTTCGTTTTTTTAAAAGTTATCCTCCACCGAAACTCCAAAATAAATGGGAAAGACCCTCTTCATTTCTTTCCCTGAAAAAGCACTTTGAGAAGTCTGCTAGGAACTTCGGGCAGTAAATTAGCACAGCCACTTGTGCCCCTACACGTGAGTCCGGCTAGTCTGGTACAACCAGCGACCCTCCCCTCCCCCACGCATCTGAAGTCCCACAGGGAGCCGGGGGCTTGTTTACTAATACACGCTCGCTCCATCCTCCTCCTTTTCCACGGTCTCTCCCTACTCATTTCACTGTCTTTTCTCTTTCCCCTCTCTGTATTATTTTTCTGTCCCTTCTTCTTACACCTTTCTGCCCTCCATCTCTTTAAAGCACTCTTTTCCCCTCCATCCCGCCCTGCCCCTCCCCCACCCCATCCTCCCTCTTCCCTCTTTACTCCCACTCTTCATCCTCTCTCTTTCCTCCTCCCCTCACTCCCAGCTCTGGTCCCCATCCACTTTCTTTGCCTCCCTCCATCCTTGTCCTGCTTCCCCCCATCCACCTCCACCCCAACCCCCCAGCCAAGGGCCCTAAATAGCACCACGGCGCCCGCTCTCCGGACAGTGATTAATGATAGCCGAGCGAGGGGTTAACACACTTCGCTGAAAAGTCTGTTGACTGGGCTTCTTGTAACACAATGTGGCCCGCTGCACGCCTCAAGAGAATCCTTTTGTTGTCCGTGCTCATTGTGGCCTCAAAATTCTGCCCACGAAAGTTTGCCAACGCTCCTGCCCCAGGAGTTTAATAGTTTCCCTTACTCGCGGGGCATTGTGTGGTGCTGAAAAGCAGCCCCTCGCTATTCAAGTGTTGGTGGTCATCTCAATAGATCTCCAAGGGCCCATATGGTGGCCAGTGCTGATGAATCCGCCTGTTTAAATGGGGGAGAAAGTTGGGGTTTTAAAACATTTCAAAGTTCCTGAAAAGATCCCACTAGATCCTGTCACAATTCCCTGAACTCTTTGAAGGCGCTGCCTATTGTCTGCTGGTTATAAATGATATTCCTGGCCAAGTCGATTCCCACCGAGGCCTGGAGGCCCCTCCCCCCAAACGGGCCAAGTTTCTAGGACTGGGAGGGGACAGTCCCTGTTGGTATCCTGTGGGGCCTCAGGCCTCAAGACACAGCCTGCAGTTCCCTGGGAAGCCCAGCCAGGGCCCCAGTCCTTCCCTTTCCCTTCACACAAGCTGTGGCCTCTCAGGCAAGGTGCATTTCAGAGCCAGTAGCCCAAGTGCACATCTCTCCTCCAAGCGCAAAAGAAAACAATGAAACTTTCCCTGTTTAATGATAGAAATTACATTAAAAGTGGTGGAAATGCCCTAATTAAAAATGTACCACTTCAATGATATGCCAAGGGTTCAGCTGCAGCATAGCATATTTAGCTGGTTAGTGAACTCTCTACGATTTCTTTTTTAAAATTACACGTTAAAAATTTAAAAGAAATCTTACTTTTCTCTGGTGCAACACATTACAAAGAATGGACAGTCCTTTTATCTAAATATAAAATTCCATTTTCAGCAATTATAGCCTGTTCTTGGTGATGATATAATTACAGCTGTGCTCGTAATAGGTGTCAAGGCAAAGCACACTCACACAATAGTTGAATAAAACTGCAGAACAATGCGAGCGCTTCTAAATTCACAACCTTTAAAATGAAATTGACTGTGCAGAATTCAAATAAAAACTAGATAAATATTTTTTTAAAAAGATTACAAGCTTGGTTTGGTTTCTTAATAGCATTTTCTACAAACCTATCAACATCTAATTGATTAGATAGGAATTACTGATTATAGATCAGCTGAAATCTTGAACATCACTCTATTTTCCCAACACAGCCATAGGTAAATACATTCTGTAGGGAGAGGGAGCAGGGTGAGGCATGTGTAGTTGCGAAGATCATTTTACCTGGAAACTTTTGGCCTGCTTTGTCATTCATAGAAATGACACTTCATGATAGAAACAGAAAGGAAAAAGGCTCATGTAGCCAGTGTTGCTAATGCCATTCATTAAAGGGAGGCTGACACTTGATTACCTTAGGAAGGTTTTGCTGACCCTCAGACTATCCTGTCCATGGAGCTTATAACTATACCAAGCCCCCTTTGGAGGCCCCCAAGCCATTCCAATTTCTCTTATTGTCCTTTTCTTTCTGTTGCAGATGGCTGTCAGCAACAGGAAGGAGGGGGAGAGAACACCAACTCCATCAGTTCCAATGGTGAAGACTCAGATGAGGCTCAGATGCGACTTCAGCTGAAGCGGAAGCTGCAAAGAAATAGAACATCCTTTACCCAAGAGCAGATTGAGGCCCTGGAGAAAGGTGATGGGATTTTTCAAAGTAGGCAAGCAGTAAATCAAAGTAAATGCCACACCAGCAGCACAAAGAGCTAAATTTAGCCAGGGCTTTTGCATACAAACTGAAAATGAAAAGGTGTCTCCTCTCCTCTCCTCTCCTCTCTCTCTCTCTCTCTCTCTCTCTCTCTCTCTCTCTCTCCTCTCTCTCTGTCTTTCCTACATCTTTTCATCTTACTCTTTCAGGGTGTGTATGTGAATGTAGGTTTTCTTTCTTCATTTCATGTACCAGCAATTCAAAGACTAAAGGAAAATGATGATTTGGCTGTCTTAGGCCACAAATGGGGTCACTGAATGTCATTCCAAAGAAAATTTAACTTGGTTCTGGTGGAAAAGTTCTTCAAAGTACAGGCAATACAGATAGTCAAATTGTTTGGGAGGGAATGAGTTGGAGGTGATGAAGTAGTGAGTCAGGAGCCAGTTTGATCCAAGGTTCAGTTCAACCATTTTGTGTAGTTCTGGCACAACATATAAAACCAACTTACTCTTTCAGAGTTTGAGAGAACCCATTATCCAGATGTGTTTGCTCGGGAAAGACTAGCAGCCAAAATAGATCTACCTGAAGCAAGAATACAGGTACCCAGGGATTTATGCTTTGTATAGTTTTATGCCTTGTGGCTCATATAATTTGCCTTGTCTGGAGACAAAGTGCTTCTAAGGAGCATCATTCTTTTATATAACTGGTAACATGCCTAGTTTGCTAACACTTTGCTGTCCCAGGGCAGGGGAGGGTGGCAAAGGAAGGGCTTTGGGTGTGGCTGGGCTGAAAGCAGGCATAGGGCTAACCTGTTCCATTTATTTACAGGTATGGTTTTCTAATCGAAGGGCCAAATGGAGAAGAGAAGAAAAACTGAGGAACCAGAGAAGACAGGCCAGCAACACCCCTAGTCACATCCCTATCAGCAGTAGTTTCAGCACCAGTGTCTACCAACCAATCCCACAGCCCACCACGCCTGGTAATGGAATGCTAACTACCAAGACATGTTCTTTCTTTTGAGACAGGGTCTTCCTGTAGCCCCACTGCCCTGGAATTTACTATATAGATCAGGCTGGGCTCTATCTGGTAGAGATCCACCTTTCTCTGCTTCCCAAGTGCTAGAATTCAAGATGTACACCTCCACATCAGGCTCCAAGACATGTTCTTCCTGGGTTCTTACTTGTCCCATAATGATCTGCCATTTCTCTCTCCCTGCAGTTTCCTCTTTCACATCGGGCTCTATGTTGGGCCGAACAGACACCGCCCTCACCAATACGTACAGCGCTCTGCCACCCATGCCCAGCTTTACCATGGCAAACAACCTGCCTATGCAAGTAAGAGAGCTGGGCCACATGCTGCACAGGGCCAGGAATGGGTTGGGACCTGCAGAGTCCATCAGCTGTTTGTGCCCCCTTGGGAATCTTTCTTCTGACAGTGATTGGCTGCTTGACCATCAAGTCTGAGACAGTCAGTCCAATCTCTTTTAGTTGATTAATTGATTGATTGATTCATGTCCTTGGACAACAAACACCTGATCTGTTCAGTCAAGTTAATCTGCCTTTGATCATCATGTTAGCTGGATAATTCCGGGTGGTAGTGAGGGCTGCTTTGGGTACTAATGAACTTGTATCACAAAGTAGAAATAATGCTGGCATAGCATGAGATAGTGAGAGGTTGATATATTAAAAATTTGGGTTTATATTAATGTGTTTATATTAATAGTGTCTGCATATGTATTTTGAGGTACATGTGAAAAACTAGTGAGAAAGGAAAGAAAGGTCAGAAATGGGACTTATATTCACACAGTGAAATTCATTTCATATAACGGAAAAGCTAGTTTTTGCTCTACATTTAAGAATAAAAATTTAATAGAAAGTATTTGTTGGAAATTGAATCTGGGCTGCAATGTGATAAGTTGGTGACATTCCTTGCTGCCTAGAACACTAGATGCCATTTAGTTTAATAACCCGCCTCTGTTCTTAATTTTCTTCCAAATATTGACCAACTCTTCGATGGCTGAGTATTGCATTAGGTTAGCACTTTATGGTGTACGTTGTACTGCACTGGTACTAGACACTTTGTTGCTCGATGGACTCTTCATGAAGGTGGGGAAGCCACGCTCTCATGGGCCTTCTACTATGGCTTTCCTAAGTCTTCTGTTTGTGCAACCATTAGATATGCCTGATGGTGTGAGATTGGAAGCACGAGCCCCTGCTGGAAACTGCTCTGGGATTTCATTGTTATTCTCCACTGAACATCTTTTTTTTCAGTTTCAAATCCAAATAGCAGCAAAATAAATGTTCACAGTCTTCAGACTCATATTGGAACAGCTAGATAAGCAACTTCAGAAGACTTGCTCACATGTTTTTCCTACTGCATCTGGATATTAGTGGCCATAGTACAATGGATGTAAATGAAGGGATCAACAGCTCATTAGTTAGTGTTGCTATAACTGCCTTGGAATTTTCCAAAAGTCAGGTTGCCTAGAGGAAGTGATTGTAGGAATTAGAGACAAATGCAAGCTGAAATTCTGGCAGGGCCCTCTAGCCCTCTAGGCTTCTTTGAACTTGACATGAGTGGTCATCAGCTAACTTTACACCATGAAGTGTCTTGCTTAGTTTTATATATTATAGCAGTATCTGGGTTTCTGTGGAGATAACAAAATGCACATATGAAAAAAAAACAATTTGAAAAATGAAACAGATGCTGGATTATATTTTTTTCCACATACAGAGAAATATGTTAAGTCAATTTATTTCAAACATTAACTTAAAAATTATGCCGACTAGGATAAGTGTGGTGATACATACCTTTAGTTCCAGCACTTTGGAGGCAGAGGCAGGCAGATCTCTGTGATTTTTAAGGCTAACCTAGCTAGGGAGTTCTAGGCAAGCCAGGGCTACATAGTAGGACCCTGTCTTAAAAATTTATACAGTTTAAAAAATATATACATTCATTAAACAACAACTAAGACAATAAAAGTGATCAATTTTACTGTTCGGAGAAAATTTCTTTTTAAATATTGGGTTGGGGGTGCTATCTGTCTCTTGCTTCATATTGTTGACTAAGATCCTCAGTATCTTACGAAGGATGGGTATCTTCCTTTAAACCCTCTCTGATGGGTCTCTGAGAATGAGAATTTTGGGGTGTTAAGCATTTGTGGAGTAGAACAGTTATCATTTCCCTTATTGCTGATATTATGCTTCTACAAATTTACCCCATGAGTTTTCTGACCTCAAAAAAGTCCACGTGCACTCCCATAAAGGGGTTTATCCTGGCTTTGCATAGTTCTTTAGTTTCAAGAGAAGTTTATCTTCTCAACACTTTCATTTTGAACACTGAGAAGGCACAACATAATTTTATGGATAAGACTCAGTCAGGACTTCTGGGTTAGTTAAGAAGTCACTGTTAATCATCAGGTTGCAAATAAATGATATTTACTTACACTTATGACCACTTTAACTTGAGGTCATTATGGATTGTGTCTTTAAAAAACCTTTCCCTTAAGTCCAGCACTGGTAGGTTCCCAAGGTTCCTACACTAAACTTGACACAGAGCTCCTCCTATTACTCTGTGGCCCCATAGTTGACATACAGAATTTGGGAATCACAGTGTTCCCAAATAGAACCAGACTTGCAGAGAGAGGGAATGTGTTTTTAGTTAGGTCCTCACTCAGAGGTTATATAACAATCCCAGTAGAGGTAAAAGATGAAAAGTGGATGAAAGTTCTGTTAAAGTATGGATAATGCTGATTGTCCAGCTGAACACTTGTTGGAATTTACTGTTTAAGAAATTTGGTGCCACAGACAATTTTACTCTGGCTGTGGCTAAAGGAAAGGTAACCCTTAGACCCATCATACGGAATTCCAGTCCATGCCATAGAGGCATCAGCAATTACCAGGCTTGTCCGAAGAGACACTGGGGAGGAGGGAGCCCAGGATGTGGTTATGTGATGTGTTCCTCAGTAGCCACAGGTTTGTTTTTCTCTTGGCAGCCCCCAGTCCCCAGCCAGACCTCCTCGTACTCCTGCATGCTGCCCACCAGCCCTTCAGTGAATGGGCGGAGTTATGACACCTACACCCCTCCGCACATGCAAACACACATGAACAGCCAGCCCATGGGCACCTCGGGCACTACTTCAACAGGTGAGCTCTCCGCAGCTGCCCAAAGAGGCCTACTTAGCTTCTCTGGCCAGCTGATCTCTCACACTGCACTTAGTTTACTTGAAAAGAAACTTCTGGCCTTGTGTAGGGGTGTGTTGAACATTTGCTGCCCTTGTCTTTGGGGAAAACCTCACTGAAAAGGGAAATATAGGTAAACTCCTGACTTGACACCACATAGGCAAAAATGTCTTCTATTATGGTGAAATGTGGTCACAGAAGTTGTGTTTGAAGACATGGGCAGAGACTATGTTTTCAGAAGACATGCTGCTAGGTAGAGCTGGACAGTGAAGGCCGGAGGGGCACACTGTGGGTGATTTTTGGAAGATTTCTACATCTTTTACTTCCTCTTTGTCTTTCATGGCAACAGAGGAAATATTACACCAATCTTCCAAAGATGGCTGCACTGCTAAAGTTACAAACATTTGACTAGAGAGGCTTGGGATTCACTAAGTATGTGTAAATAAATCATCTAGTCCCTGAAGGTGCAGCTTTTATTTGTAACAGTTGGAATATCTTTTAATATGATAAAAATGTTATGGTGTGTTAGAGATTTAAAAAAGGCTATACATTTATGTTCTACTCCTGTCTCTTGAAGAATATACCTATATGACTATTTTTTTTTAACCCATTTATAGGACTCATTTCCCCTGGAGTCTCAGTTCCAGTTCAAGTTCCTGGAAGTGAACCTGATATGTCTCAATATTGGCCCAGATGAAGGAACACCAGAGAGGTGGGTCCACAGTAGATGGGTATTATCAATGGAGAAATGGGGAAAATGGGGACAATTTAAATGGGGAAACCATGGCAGAAGGGTTAGGCAGAGAGAGAGAGAGAGAGAGAGAGAGAGAGAGAGAGAGAGAGAGAGAGAGAGAGAGAGAGAGAGAGAGATTGAGAGAAAGACTGAGGAAATTGTGCTAATTTAGTTAGTGACTATGTGGACACAACAGTTGGGTGTTCAGGAAAGAAAAACGGCTGTTAGAAGCACTTCACTCTGCAACTGTGTCCTGTGTTGGAGCCCTGGGGAATGGACTAGAAACAAGGACCTTTGCATACAGGAGGCACAGTATCAGTTGGAACAAATCTTCATTTTGGTATCCAAACTTTTATTCATTTGGTGTATTATTTGTAAATGGGCATTTGTATGTAATGATGAAAGAGAACAGCATAGACTGGATGGAGCTTGGATCTGTGTTGGTCATGAAGTTGTTTAAAGGAAAAGAAGAAAAAAGGAAACCATGATCAACAAGATTTGCCATGAATTTCAGAGTTTTATCAAGATATATCGAATACTTCTACCCATCTGTTCATAGTTTATGGACTGATGTTCCAAGTTTGTATCATTCCTTTGGAACAACATGCACTAGATATATGTAAGACATCTCTGTTGGTTTTCCAAAGGCTGTTAACAGATGAAGTTTATGTGCAAAAAAGGGTAAGATATAAATTCAAGGAAAAGTTGATAGCTAAAAGGTAGTGTGTCTTCGATATAATCCAATTTGTTTTATGTCGAGATGTAAGTATTTGTCTTCCCTAGAAATCCTCAGAATGATTTCTATAATAAAGTTAATTTCATTTATATTTGACAAGAATACTCTATAGATGTTTTATACACATGTTCATGCAATCATACATTTCCTTTTTGGCCAGCAAAAGTTAATTGTTCCTAGATATAGTTGTATTACTGTTCACAGTCCAATCATTTTGTGCATCTAGAATTCATTCCTAATCAATTAAAAGTGCTTGCAAGAGTTTTAAACTTAAGTGTTTTGAAGTTGTTCACAAACTACATATCAAAATTAACCATTGTTGATTGTAAAAACCATGCCAAAGCCTTTGTATTTCCTTTATTACACTATTTTCTTTTTAACCTAATAGTGTGGTGTTACAAATTTTGTTTCCATGTTAGGTTGATATTCCAAATCAGTGGTCACTTTCATACATACTGTCCTTTTGCAGACACCAGAAGGCCTCATAAATTGGTTGGTGCATGAGGATATATATATATATATATGTGTGTGTGTGTGTGTGTGTGTGTGTGTGTATCTCCTTTAACCATGTAAGAATGTAGGAATAAAAATGCAACAAGCTATTAATCAGGAATCGTGCTTTGAATTAGAGCTGGCATTTTCAATCTGGGCAGATTTCCATTGTCAGCCAATTTGCACAATGATTTCACTAAGTATATTCCAAAGTAGATTTCTTAAACAAGACACTCTGAAAGCTGTTGCCTTTCTCAGATAGCCCCTTTCCCTTTTCTGCCTCCCTCCCCTTTGCACAAGAGGCATCATTTCCCATTGAACCACTACAGCTGTTCCCATTTGAGTCTTGCTTTCAGCGCTCTTGTGGATGGTTGGAGGGTGGAGGGAGCATGTTGCATGTCAAGGAATAATGAGCACAGACACATCAACAGACAACAACAAAGCGGACTGTGACTGGCCGGTGGGAGTTAAAGGCCTTCAGTCATTGGCAGCTTAAGCCAAACATTCCCAAATCTATGAAGCAGGGCCTATTGTTGGTCAGTTGTTATTTGCAACGAAGCACAAATCTGATCATGCTTAAAGTGGCAGCACGCAGGGCAGGAGTGTTTGAGCCCAAGCAATGGATGGGAAAAAAAATAAGCCTTTGTTGACTAGAAAAAGGCTTGTCTATTATTTCTGTCTGCTCTGTGCAGCATGTAAGTTAATATACATACATTTTCTTTTGTAAACTTTGGTAAAACGTTTGGAGGTCCTGGCCATGTAAGTAAGAATACTTAATGTAGAGAAACCTCTGGGGGAAAAGGACACACTTCCATTGACTTGTACTTGGATTTTTTTTTTTTTAATCCTCCAAAGCAAATGATCAAAAATAAAGAAATTACTTGGAAGGTTTAAACACAACCTTGTAGTCAACATCTACCATTTGGTAGTTAAGGAACTGCTTATGAACGGATAATTGAGATTCATTTCTCTGGCATACTACATACTAAAAATTTTATTCCAGCGGAGTTGCTTCACGTCTGGGGATGCCTTCCTAAATTGATGCTGGTTATTGCATGCGTATTTGTAGTGGTACCCCGTGTCAGCCTGCACTGCATGCTGGCACATACACACTGTTGGTACAATTGCCCTCCCAGACATTTCTACCTCCTGACATTTTTCAGCCTTTATTCCCTGAGGGATGGATGTGTGCTGAGGGAACTGTCAGAGAAGGGCTGTGTGGGAGTTATGCGCTGCTGGCTGGCTTCCTTCCTTGAAAGAAAGGGTAGTTTCCAACTGGCTGTGATTTTGGCTGGGGCCAAATTGGTGCAGGCCCATGGCTCTGCTGAGCAGAGCATATAGACTATGGAGAACTGGGCATGGCATGCTGGGAACAAGATCTTGCAGTGGGAGAAAGAGAGTGATATGGGAGCTGATGGGTCTGATGTGAGCACTCGGGCACAAACACAAGCCCTCAGAGGGTTAGGACTGCTAGGCCACAATGGCATGGCCTGGTGTAGTCTGAAGAAGTGCTGCTCAGCTGTGGAAGCCCTCTGGTCCAGCAGGGAACGGCTGTCTTGCCTTCTGCCACATGTACCCTAGGGAGATGAGCTTTCCCTCTCATCCAAGCTCCAGGCACTCTTGGGGACAGCACTGCAAGCTCTGTGTGGTACCAGTGCCTGGGATTTGGCTTTTTACTCTTTGTAATCATTTACTTTTGTCTATTTACGGACAGGTATATTTAGAGATTTGTCAATGGGCAATCTGCAGGGATGTCTTAGTACATTTTCCAGAATGAAGACTATATTTTGTGATGTTCTCAGTACAAACAGCTAACATTTTATCTCAAGATTTGACTGAATTAGGGACACCAGGTGAACAGAATTAGAGCTGAATCACTCTAGGTAAAAATCACTCTACTTTTACTGGGATGAATTTTCAAGAATCCCGTTCTGAAAGCTGTGCCTCCTAACAACAGTCAATCCGTAAACAATTGTCTCCTCCTTTTAAAAATTATCATAAATAGGTTTCCTAAAAAATTATTCCTATAGTATTAGTACAAAGCTTTGTTCCATGAACGTTTGCCATCACAGGATAGTAATGACATTCTTCTAGTTATTTAGGCCTATTTTTTATTTTTTGGTTAGTACTTTGGTTCATCAAGACCAAATACATATTATTCTGTTTTTCAAGACAAATCTTTCTCCCCAACCCCTTGGTTATGACTGACTAAACTGTTTGGTTTTCAAATCAAAATGAAAGTCTTTACAGTTACTACTGCTTAATTCTGATGCTTTTGATGGTGACTATCTTTGGAAGGCAGCAACAAAATGACAACAATGGACTTAACCAATATTGGGTTTTCCCTATACCTCCTCGTTAAAATTGAAAGGGGATTGTTGGCAGAGTTCCTTACTTTTGAGGCATTTTGATTTGGTCTGGTGTTAGTATTGGGAGGTCCTGGAGGTAGCAGTGCTAACGAATAGGTAGAAAAGAAGGAAAGTGATATGGTGTAGAGGCATCAAGAAGAAATTCAGGAGGTCTTGGAGCCTCAATACCTGAGCAGAACTCAGCAGTCAAAATATTTACCTCATGTTAAAGATAGGCAGATATAGTGTAAGAAAGAATTCCATACATGGCTTTGAGGGTCATATATTGGAAACATTAAAAAGATATAAGGATATTTCAGATGCTATATTTGGCACTGCTCTTAAGTATATTTGAATCAAGTTGATAATTAAAAAATCTATTAATGAGTGTATGTTTCATAATATGTCAGAAGGGTGTGTGTGTGTGTATAATTTTTGAAGGCCAGTATTTTTATGAAGTTGTTGGGAGAAATAGAGGACAAATAATGTTTCCAGAAGGAGGAAAGCACATTTAAAAAAATATTTTATTTAGTATTTTTATTTTCTGTGTACAAGTGTATTGCCTGCATGTATGTGAGTGCACCCGTGTTGTACAATGCCACGGAGGTCAGAAGAGGGCTTCGAATTCCCCTGGAACTGGAGTTATGGATGGTTCATAGCTGCCATGTGGGTGCTGAGAGTTGAACCCGGGTCTTCTGCAAGAGCAGTCAGTGCTCTTTACTGCTGAGCCATCTTTCCAGCCCATGGAAAGCACATTTTTAGAGTGCATTTTTATTAGAAGAAAAACAAAACATACAACCCTCCAAAATCTGCCCAGTGAGCCTGAAAACCAAAGCCCCTGGACATGGAATTTTTGGAAAGCCTAGGTACTCTCTTGATTAAAAATGTACTTTTATTAAGTTTGAAAAGTTTCATTTCTACTTAAAATAAGGGTTCAAATATGCCCACTCAATTTTTAGAGTATTTAGCTATTTGTAAAGCATACATTAACTAGTAATTGGGTGTTAATTTTATAGATATGGTATCCAGGGAAGTGAATCAGTGGCCTATTAAGTATTTTACAAGCAATTTACATATGTGACGGCTGCACATTTCCTTTTCAGAATCAAATCCTGTGTAATTGTTCTGTTGTGTGTTTGTGTAGAATGAATCACAACATGGTAAGAGAAAGGTTAGAGTTATTAAAATAATAACCCAACTAAAAGGTTCACTTCAATTTATTCAAATTGTTCACAGTATCTTCAAAGGGCACAGCAGAGCTTCTTTTAGTACCTGCACAACATTATTTTATTATCTATGGACTAAATCAATCTTTTGAAGTTGTTTTAAATCTTAAAAGCACCTCTGCTTAATATAAAAGCCCTTTAATTTTAACTGACAGATCAATTCTGAAACTTTATTTTGAAAAGAAAATGGGGAAGAATTTGTCTTTAGAATTAAAAGAGATGAAAAAAAAAAATAAACCAGACAGTGTAAAAAAAAAAAAAGAAGGAAGAAGAAGAATCAACGCGATTTTTTAGTGCTAATGAAGTCGTGGTGACAAAATAGTTGTCTTTTTGATTTTGATCACAAAAAATAAACTGGTAGTGACAGGATATGATGGAGAGATTTGTCATCCTGGCAAATCACTGTCATTGATTCAATTATTCTAATTCTGAATAAAAGCTGTATACAGTGTGTGTTTATGCTACAGTGGGTTTTTTTTTTAAGTGACTGACATTCATCATATTGGTTAGACAGTTTTAAAAACCTAGTCTTTGTTTTCTACAATGTTGTCAGGAGCAAATAGAGCACAGTCTGTGGTATATTAAAAGAAAACTACTTAAAAATGCTGGTTAAAAGTTCTTTTAAAATATTCTAATATATTTGAAAATGTACTCTGGAAATTCAGTTTTTCCCAATGGATGTTAAATGTCTTTTTAAAAATTGAATCTTTATTTATATATGCAAATTGCTTTTTAACTTTCACTTTTTGCCTATTGTTTGTCAAAAGCTTTAAGGCTATGGAACTGATTCAAAAACCCAGTGTTTCATATGAAAACTGGTTCAATAAGCTATGTGCCCAAGACATGTTTACATGGTTAGAGGTTTCCATGCTTAGCCAATGTTCCTGTTTAACAAAGGGTTTGCATGGCACAGTGGAAATCTGAGTTACTTTCAGTTTTTCATGTTGTCTTAGACTATATTATACGAATTACACCAGGCTTCACTATGTGTTTCCCCTGACATCCCAGCACTGATGTGGCTGTCAGTTTGAATTTCAGTCTTGAATTATGTCTGTTGACACAATTTCATAGCACTGACTTTGACTGTTGAAGATTTCTAAACAGAAGTCCACTCAACTTCTATTCTATCACTCAAGTTCTTTTTGTATTAACTACTATGGCAGAGTAATTCATACTAAATTCAAAATATATTACTTTGTCTTTATCATTTTAATAACAGGATACATAAATGCGAATTGTTTCATATACTAGCAAACAAAATTCCCTTCTTTCTTTCTTTTTTTTTTTTTTTAAAGCCTTAGCAATTTTGGTAATTTTTTCAGAAATAAAGTGGAAATGTGTTCATATACAACTTGAATTTCATGATTTACACTCTCCTGGCTGTAACATGTGCATGATCCTGAGTGCATTGATTTTTTGGACCTTTTTTGAGTGTTTGTTTAAAAATAAATTAGTATTTTAAAAAGCAAAAACTAAATGCTAAAAATGCCAATATTTCTGCTGTATTATTTCTGTACAAAAGTTGGTGAAAAAAACATAAAGAATGGCAGCTCCATTCTGTAATCCTAACTGTGTTTTCAAAGATTGAGGGGCAAATCATTAAGAAAAATATTTACATAAGCTATTAGCAATCATAATTAGAGTGTCAGATAATTCCACATGCAGTGACTAAGGAGGATCCCTAGAAGTCCAGGTGCTTCTCGCCTCCGGCCATCATGCCACAGCCTGGGCCCAGCAGCTTGGCGGATTCTGCCAGATCCTGTTTGCTTGAACGGCTCACTGTGTCTGACAAGTCTGGAGGCAAATGCAGTCGCTATGGCACATTGTAAGAGAAGGAAAAGAAGAAGAAAAAAATTAATTTTGCTTTCCCTAGCACACTTCAGAATACAATATTATGCTCTGTTGATCAGCATTTAGTCTTGCATATGAAATCCCTGCTAAAACAATTCCTCAGACTGAAGCCCATTATAATCACATCCTATTCTTACCAGATTTTTACAAATTATAGCTATTGTTAGAAACTGGACCAAGATTCTTAGTGGAGCTTTTTCAGAGACCAAATCTAAATGTATTAAGATTTTTTTTCTTATTTAGGTAGAAATGAAAACATGCAAATGTACAAACTGAAAAATATCACGAATTAGTTTTTTCCTTGTCCTATTTTTGCCATGGTCCTAAAATGCTTTTTAATCAAATGTAGCTTTTTAGGAGTGTTGGATTCCCACAATGCTTGCTTCCCTTTGTGTATGAGTTGACCTGATGATTCTATTTCATGACTATACTATTTCTAGGAACTTAAACTCTTGACAGACGTTTTGGCATAATCAAAGCAATGGTACCAGAGGGTCAGTATTTTTCAAGTGCTCAGGTAAGTCAACTACAACATGTGTTACAGGTTTGCCTTAGTGCATCATGTTGGAGTATATTTTCAAAAGTATAATTCAGCTTTGACTAGCCCCCCTCACCATAATTATAGAAGCTACTGTAATTAGGAAGAAATCTTGGTATTTCAAAAGAATATTTGTGTATTGGAAAGAATCTCAAAGTCCTTTAACTATCAGTACTCCTAGCTCATGACATGTTTTTTTTTTTTTTTAAAATCAACATTTAAAGGAACAAAGAGTTGGTTCTTCATATCAGTAGATTCCACATGCATGGATTCAACCAACCCTATGGTGTGAAAATACTCAAAAAGAATGGCCTGTATTAAACACGTAGAGGTATCTTGTTATTATTCTTATTTATCTTGTTATTTTGTTATTCTTATTTATCTTGTTATTATTCTCTATCCAATACAGTGAAAGATCTATTTACATAGCACTTACACTGTATTAGGTATTATAGTAATCTACAGATGATGTAACTAGACAAGAAGACATGTGTATATGCATGTATATGCAAGCACAATGCTATGATATAGAAGGGACTTTGACATCTATAGATGTTAGAATCTGCAGAGGCCTAGAACCAGTCTTCCAGGGTTACAAAGGATTGCTATCTTTGTCGTGTGAGGTACAGAATAGGCCTGAGAGACCACAGGCAAGGCAGGACGGGGCTCTCCAAAGTAGGCAGCCTAGCTGGAACCTTCATTTGGAAAACTCTCTTTAATACAAAAAAAAAAATCACTTTTTTTCTTTTGTCAAAATCTTTGTTGACAAGCATATGTTCCCACTAGATTCTTTCTTGATGAAAGGCTTGTTTACTGTCATGTAAACACAAGCTGTGTGCACATGATCAAAATATTTAAAAACATTTAAAATAATTTATGAAAAGGTTTTTCCTTGATCTCAGTTTGCCTATAATACAAGCACATTTATGACTAAAGATACAAATCTACAGATGCAAGGCCAGCAAAGATGTCAGGAAGGTCAAGAAGGTCAGGGAAGCCTGTGAGATTCACACAGAGCGATTCATTCTATCCTCTGCATCCAGCCTGCCACTTATTAAGTAATTGTCTATTTTATCACTGGTTTTAAAACATCTCTTTTATTTCTGTACACTCTAGTTTTTTCCACAAAAAATTTCAAGTAGAAATGAAAGCATGATAAAGTCAGGAATCTAAAACAAAGCATAATCCAGAGTCCAAGGTCACAAGCATTGTTGTAGTGTTAACTCAATCACTGTCCATGGAAGAAGCAGGAGGGAAATGAGCTTTAATTACACCCCAGTTTCAATGTTTCTAGACTATCTTGTAGTCAAGGCTGATCAGCAAAGAAGAAAATGACCAGAATGCTTGCATGATTTGAAGGTCTTTATGTGGACTTTAGAGAAAACTACTCTGTGTGTGTGTGTGTGT